GGGCTCGTGGGAGCTGGCCCCGCGCAGCCGCCGCCGGCCTTGGCCCCTCCGGCCGGGGCAGCAGTAACGCTGAGTGGAGCCACAGGAACAGCGTCAGGAAAAGGGGATTGAAAACGTTCCCGGCCTGGCTGTGATGGGCCAGAGCTGCTCCTCAGGACAAGCAGCAGCTGGTTTCCCTTTTAGGGTCGGCGACAGGCAGCAATTTAACACAGATTCCAGGAGCTATGGTGAGTCTGGAAAGGCAACAGGGAACAAAAAGTGTTATTCTCTTCTGACCCTGAAGCGCTTTGAGAACCTTCCTCCAAAGCTTGTCCCCTGGGCGGTTTCATCCTTACAAGGGGAACACTCGCCTTTCCCTGCGCGGTTGTGCTTTCTCTCCTGCATAGTTGTTTAGGTATGAAGTGCCAGTGCACAAGTTGTGCTCGGAGCAGCCCCGGGAAGATGAGAATAGACAGGAACCTGACACAGGCAAAGGCAGGTCTATTCCTGTGTCCTGGAAAGATTAAGTGTTTTCCTAGGAATAGCCATATGGGTTGCTCTAGGATCACTTCGTGGAGCAGCTGGCTGTGACCTGACAACGAACAACAAACTGGTGTGAAGTTACACAGAGTTTTTGGCTCACCGTGCAAGTGAGACCTCTGGCTGAAGGAGTTCATTGTAGCAGGAATCGTCTCAAAAGCCTGGTTAAACTCGTGAGTGAGTGCATCTAGCAGAAAGCCTGGCCCTGGCAATCTGTACCGCCACCTTTGCATAATAGGCCCCCAGCTTATAGACACTAAAATTAAGGTAACAATCTCCTGGGGCTGTTGCTAAGCCATCTGCTGGGTTGCTGTGGACAATGACACCAGCGTGGTGTTACGTGTATGTTGCTCTCCAATTAGAAAGTGGACCCTGCCGCGCGTCCTTGACGAATCGCTGACCTTTCTCATGCAGGCAGCTATTCTGAGCTCTGTTCCAGGCTGATCAGATTTGCGTCCCGGAGCACTTCAGATGTTGTTTGTGAGAGGAGCTCTCGTTTGTTTTTGGGCACAGGAGAGGAACTGGACTTCCTTTTCTCCATGAGGACAAGTATATCTGTCAAAGGGAAAGGGGAGACAGCTGGCGGGCATATGACCTGTTGTTTATTTTTGCCCTCAGCCAGCCAGTGAGACAGCTGAGAGAACGCCCCAGGTCCAGCTCCTGGGGGCAGGGACCTGCTGCTGCTGCTCCGGGCAGCCCGTGTCCCGCGGGGACCGCGGTTATCCCGCCTCGGCCGCCGACCGTAGTCTCGCTGTGGCCCAGAGGCACCAGCCTGGG